GAATCTTCCTGTTTCTGAAAAAATTTCTCACGCAAAGATGAAACGATACGATGGAATATTTTTAGAAGCTCTGTAATCGTCCTTCCTGATGTGCCTCCATTTTTGAATAGCGCATTTAACGATTCCGCTCGTTGTGTTGTCTGTGTCATCCCCATGAAGTTTCCTCGAAGATAGGCATCGCACCATTGATGTCTTCTTTTAAAAGTGTCTTTCACTCACTGATTATCCGACACACCATGTTTCACCGTTTCCATTTCCCATCCTGTTTCAAATTCCGCAGTTGTCAAAGTTTTTGTGACGAAATTCCCGAAGACTCTGCAAAATTCATGGACCTTCACTCTTTAGACACAATTTCTCTGGAGATGCCATGAACATAGCCTGTGTTTAGTAGCTTCGGGTAAGGTCTTTTTTATTGCAGCTCGCATCGCCTCATCTTGATCAGTCACCACTGTTTTAGGCATCTTTCCTTTCATTGCCGCAATAAACGTCGTTAACAGCCAGACGTATGTTTTGGAGGTCTCATTATGAAGTAATGTCCCACCAAATATTGTGGTATTTAGGTGGTTATCTATCCCAGAAAATATCAACAGCGGGAATTTGTAGGTGTTTGTTTTGTATGTGCTGTCAAAAATTAGAACATCGCCAAATTGCATATATGATGCCTGGGAAAATCCGTCGCACCAAAAAATCTTGGTTAATCTCCCTTCTTCGTCACAAGTTGTTTCAACAACCAAGTTAGGATTGTTTATCCTCACTCCTTCAAGCATAGCAACAGCAGTATTAAAATCACCGTTGCGCATTGTATCTTTCCTCTGCTTGTTTAGGTAGTTGTAAGCATTTTTCTTTTTGTAATGTATGCTTGTAGGATCACCAGACATATTTCCAATGTAATTGAACGACTGATAAGTCTGAATGCCGGCATCATTCATATTCGTCAACTGTGTTTTTTCAGAATATGTGATTTGCCTGCAAGATATACTAAGATCGATTATAGGCATCATAAAATAAAATTACATTAATGTTTGTTCGAAAAAAAATTGGTTACCTGTTGCACTTAAGACGGTGTGCTGTTTCCGAAGTCGCAAGAGAATGATTGTGTGTCGTATTTAAATGTGTTATCCAGTACACTCCGCCACTGATATCATGTGCAATACGTAATCCAGCTTTGCAACCACATCTGATGTTTGGTTTCTCCTTTCGAATTAATTGTATTCCGTTTGATTTTTTACGTCTAAATCCTGCACATGAACACTCCCACTGCCTATTCTTTACGAACCCCGTTTTTGTAGTCTTGCGACTGCATCTTCGTACATCGAAGCCTGCATTCGTTGCGTAATTGATGTACCATTTTTCAGCATCATCATCCGTTGTAAAACTGATGGTGGTGATTGGATCATCGAAAATTTCACTATCATGTTTAGAACCCATTCCATCGCGCATTTGATGATCGACACATTTGTCATCGTGATTCCTAGCCTTTTCATCGGTTACATTTTCGGAGTATACACCAGTATCATCGTGATTGTCCATTGAACTATATCCACTGGAATAATTAAAAAAACTATTAGAATCAAATATGGAGTCCCAAAAATTATTCAGATCTAAACACACCATGAAAAAATTATTACCAGATGAAGTTCGTGTATTCAGTGGAAGGATGTAAGATTAGCTGCGTCGCAGTCAACTATGTCACTCTGCGGTTGTGTTTTCACCGTGTGGAAATGACTGTTCAGTAATTTCGGGCGTGATTTAGTGGATCAGTCTTTTGGTAAAGATATTTCACTAATTTGGCACGTGATTTAGTGGATCAGTTATTTACAGTACAGATTTTGTGATGATAAGGCGATCAGATAGAAATAAATTCCATACATATCTCTTCAAATGTCGTTCGCATTGTTGCCTCTTCAAAGCATTAGATTTTTTTTTTTTTGATAAAAAATGTTAATTTTAACTTATATCCATTATTATAGGTATTCATAATTTTAAATTAATATTTTATATAATTAATTTAAATGTAAATTATTACACACGATCTGAAGTCTTCACTTTATAACATTTTTGCACTAAATTGGTCAACCATGATCAAAATCGAACATTAATCTAAATCGAACATTGATGAACACGTTTCTTGAGCAATAAACTCGTTTCTTGTTGTAGAAACCCGTTTATTTTTCAAGAAACTCTTTTTTTGTTCAAGAAACACGTTTTTTGTTCACGAAACACGTTTTTTGTTCAAGAAACTCGTTTTTTGTTCAAGAAACCCGTTTATTTCTCAAGAAACCAATTTCTTGAGCACAAAACGGGTTTTTTGTTCAAAAAACTCATTTCTTGTTCAAGATTCCCATTTCTTGTTCAAGAAACTCATTTTGTTCTCAAGAAACCCGTTTATTGCTCAAGAAACTCGTTTCTTGAGCATGAAACGGGTTTCTTGTTCAAAATACACATTTATTGTTCAAGAAACTTATTTTGTTCTCAAGAAACCCGTTTATTTCTCAAAAAACCAATTTCTTGAGCAAAAAACGGGTTTCCTGTTCAAGAAACACATTTCTTGTTCAAGAAACTCATTTTGTTCTCAAGAAACCCGTTTATTGCTCAAGAAACCCGTTTCTTGAGCATAAAACGGGTTTC